GTGTGTGTGTGTGTGTGCGACTGGTAAGTAAGGAGTTTGACGCGTGCTGATTTTGCACCAAAATGAATTTACATAGCAGGAAAAAACCACATCAGTGGGTTGGGCGTTCCACGCTGCAACTACTCAGCTATTGAGGAAAATCCAACCTTCGTTGATACTTGATCTATCTGAGCGTAGTTTTAGGTGACGACCGCGCAATTTAGCACGAGAGCCTGGGTGAAAAGAACACTGGGGACAGATTATCTGTCCGGACCATTCATAATGTGAAAGGTTAGTATGAGATCAACTCGTAGTTGCCTGCAGGAAAAGGGAAATTGGTCGGGGGATGAGGGGCTGTCTGCATATGTCAGTGTTCCCAGATCTTTGACATCTTTGTCGCCCGCCTGTGAATTTTCTAAAAAACGGTAAAGTCCTTGACAGTCTAAGGTCTCTATGCTCTGTTACAGGTGCGGCCGTAGGAAGCTTCCAAATCTATTGGTAAAACGTTCTCAATCAACCCCCCCCCATAGAGAATGCTCTATGTGGTGTCTATTAGAGGTCTTTCGTCTCGGTAATCATACAGCAACATTGTGGTGATGCGAATAGGGTGTTATCTAGGCTATTTCCCATATTTAAGACTTCCAAAGCACATGCGCACATTAATGTGTCTTCACGATTGTATTACCGACTATGTCCCAATTTTCCAGTCAGTGAACAGCCTCTTGATATGTGAATCTTTCAAAACCGTTTGCCATGTCCACGAAATCGCGTAAAGTCTCCCTCGGTTTGGTCAACCACATCTCAAGCGGTGCAAGCGTCAGAGCGCCTTAAACGAGGGCATGCTTGAAATGACCTTGAATTCGTCGGCCGGTCTGGATAGCCGTGATTGTGCGGGAATCAGATGGCTACTTGTACTGGTAGGGGCAGGGACATCACACCTGTTCGTCCGTGGATTTGCTACGGATGAACAGCGGATTTGGCACTATTCTGACCGTGCTGAACTCGGACTTGCGTACTGCGTCACCAGAGTCAGATTTGTTCAATGAGTCTTCAAGCACAACGGTCTGCAGAATGCGATCTGTTGGGGGGCACATTTGTTCGTCGGTGCTGCGATGTCCAGTGTACATACTCTTGGACCCCGCAGCCGACTACGACAGGATTCGAACTGGCCGCTAGTAATTTTGGCTGGGACACTCAAATGTCTTGGGACAACGCTTCCACAGAACCGCCGCTTTTTCATCCAATGAGCGCACTCAGATTTTGCTAACGACGTTGATTGTGTTTGGGGGGCCCGTCATGTTGACTCACAACGTCCACCTGTACGGGACGTTTCTCCGCTTGGTCCTCCATGGCTGTGCATGTTCTGTTTAGAAGAGCAGATTGCTGATGTTGGGAAAACGTCGTTCGCCTATCAGGCAACTAGGAAAGATGTTTTCGATTAACAAGCATCCTACGAGCACGGTATGCAAAGTTTATCTCAAACGGGGCAGTCCGCACTGGTTTCTGTTTACCAACGATGGCCAGCATTCTACCTTTGTCGAAGGGGAGAGTGTGATCCAAACTAGGGAATCCGTCTTAATAGCACATCGGCGCATCTCTGGTCGTGCTAAATGTGATGCTTCTGAACCTATGTATCAGGGCACCCCATCTGTCGTGGCTTGAAGGGCTGCCATCTGAGGGAGTAAATAAGTCCCCTCAACGCCAGAAACTCTACCTCAGTGGTGCCTTCCCGATGCGACCTTCATGGCGGCCTCAGTGTGCGTGTGACTCGAGCAGGTGCATGTGGCAGGAACTTGATCGTGTGGGTGGCACGTGCAGACG